CCCCCCCCCCCCCCCCCCCGACTTTTAATTTACCCTTTGTTTTTATACATATCAAATTCCTTCACGTTTATTGTAACTCATCCATACAATAATTTTTCTTGTTTTCTCGAATAATATATATTGATAGATTTTTATTTTTCCTTTTGAAATAAAAAATAAAAGAATTTGATTCTGTGGTATAATTTATAGAATTAGATTCTGTGGAATCATTTATAGAATTTGATGCCTGATTTATTATTTAAATTTTAAATAATAAAATAAAACAAAAAAATTAAATTAATTATGGTAATTATTAAAAAAGGGATAGGTGTATAGAAACGGGAGCTTATTCTATGATTAATTAGCAGACAAAATTTTCTAAATTTCCGGAGTTTTTTGTTATATATATATATATATATTATATTTTATGGGTCTATGCAATTATTAATTTCAACTTATTGACTAAAAAAATCTACTTTTTTAAATATAAAAAGCTTCTTTTTACGTATTAAGAGATTATAATTTATTAGATTTTTTAAAAATAAAAATATTTTGAAGGTCCACCCTGGAGCTACAAGATAAAACCATGGTCTGTCATCGGACCATGGAGCCTGTGATGTTAGTGACCCCACGCCATGGGGTCCAATAAAAAAGATGAAACGAATTGGCTGAGTTTAGGGCACCCCGTCGGCCCCTCCCTTCCATTTTAAGGCCGAACAGTTAAAAAGGTATGCTCTATCTTGGTCCATTTGTTTCCTTCTTCCAAGCTTTGGAGGGCTGAGTTGTTGTTTCCAATTCAGCCCTTCCCATAATTGTCTCTACCTCTAAAATCTTATTCTACACCATGTCCTTGGATTCTCTATTATGTACCTTTCTCACTTTTTAACCCCATTATATACCTTATTCTTATCGTGTATGTACGCGCCACTTCTATGTTGGAAAAATACCGTACTAAAATGATACATAATTCTCTCTCGGATTTAAAAACTATTCTCTTAAAGCTTTAGTGTAATGATTCATACCCAACATTTCAAATATAAAATTAGTACTTCATGCCTCTATTATTCTTCGGCATCTTTTATTAATGCGAGAATTGGTGCACATATAACGCACGGATAAATCCAACCATTATGACTTTGAACGAGGCAGTTAGAGGATGTTTGCTTTTCCCGACTCTTTTTTCTAATATGTATAATTAAACTATGATCGTAATTACACGACTATTATAATTATAAATGTTTGGAACATCAATTTTATTTATTATATATATATAAGAATGAAGAGGAAGTTATTTATTGCATTTTTGTTGGCAGACAAAATCCCAACATCATGATGAGAAGAAGAGGCATTGATGGCGGGGGAAGCCGAGGGGGGTGACTTTCCGACCAACCCATTTCAAAAAAATATCAATTTTATTTTAATTTTATGATCTAAGGCCCAATGAAGGCCCAATTACTTTCTCTGAGAAAGAACCCGGCCCATATATATTTGGGCCTAGTAATTACTATTCTTTTTTATTAATTTGAAAATTTGTCAAAATACATAAAAAGATTTTTTAGTTTATTCATTTCTAATTTTCTCGACCATCCTAATTACACAAACGTCTACGTACCCACAAAATTGTCATTCATATTTCATGAATTAAAAAAAATTATGAATATCATAAATTCTGCGTGTCATACTAATTTACGATTGTTGGATGATGAAAGTCCCACATCGGTTAATTTAGGGAATGGTCATGGGTTTATAATCTAAGAATATACTCTTCATTGGTATGAGGCCTTTTGGGAAGCCCAAAGCAAAGCCATGAGAGCTTATGCTCAAAGTGGACAATATCATACCATTGTGGAGAGTCGTGTTCGTCTAACAAGTGGTATCAGAGCCATGCCCTAAACTTAGCCGTGCCAATAGATTGGCAAATCCTCAAATGTCAAGCCTCCTTGAAGGTACGAAGGCAGTCAAAAATGACTAAGACTCCAAAGGAGTCAAGCCACGATTAAGGGGAGGCGTGCTTTGTTCGAGGGGAGGTGTTGGATGATGAAAGTCCCACATCGGTTAATTTAGGGAATGGTCATGGGTTTATGGACAATATCATACCATTGTGGAGAGTCGTGTTCGTCTAACAACGATTACCTCTAAGACACGCTGTCGGCATAAATGATTGATATTAAATTAATGTTGTTTTCTTGTTAAGAGTCTTATTCTTGAACTATTTGATTATATGGTATTCAAAATATCTAGTAGCATATTTTATATATTTTAAAATATAAACTCTTAGTATTAAGTGATGTATCATATTGATACACGATACACGTGCAGAATATATCATTAAACATACGTTATCGTGTATCAATATGATAGCTACCACAAGCAAAAAAAAAAAAAAAAAAGTTAATTATTTTTGTTGTTCTTTTCCATAATATCCAAGATACCAAGAGTTGTATAGACGTTATGAAACACACATTAATTCAAATATGTGAAAAAGGAAAGTTTATGCCGGTAAAAAGGTGTATTTTTTTAAAATTTAATTATGGTAGGTTTTTTATTTGAACTTATCAAATCCAAAATACTTAATCTCTTATAAATTACAGACCGTGTAGTCTCTCTCCAAGCGATCTACACTCATTCTCTGTTCAATGGTATTTTTTTTATCTCCATTTTCATGTTTTTGTTCTTCCATTTGATTTTCTTTTACGAGCGTTTCTTGAAATGGGAGATGAAAGCTTAGTTATGGCACTCGAAGTGGTATCATGGGAGATATTTAAGTGATTTAAATGCTCGACCCATATGGTTATATGTTCGTTCATGAAAATGGATGAGGTTATTACTCGTATTAAATGCCACCACACCATCTCAAATATCATTTTCTTTGATTATTGTTGGTTAATATTTCCAAGCTTTGCGTGTTAATTCACCACACCAAACTATTTTGCTTGCAGCTTTGTGTTACGTAATTTCTCCTTTTAAGTTTATTTTTAGTATAAGTTAATTCTTTGTTTGGCCTCTCTTTCTCTTTTTTATAATAAATTTGAAAATTATTAATAAACTTTTAATTTTTGTATTTTTAACAGAAATTATGACGACAAAATTGAAAATAAGTAAATAAATATTAAGTTTTTTTTAGTGGTTGAAAAAAAAAACAGTTTTGAGAAATACGAGGTACAAACAAATATAAATAATAATAATAATTTTATTTGAATCCAAAATATCCTAACAGAAGAGTGTCGGTTGGTTGAAATTTTTTAACACAGAAGCAAAATTATATAATATTTTCCCATATTTTCTTAACATCTTTATTCTTTTCTTCTAAACTCCAAACATTCCTGTCGAAGAGAAAAAAAACCCAATATAATCAAACAAAAGCTGTTTGGATAATAATATAAAGTAAGCAACCACATGTCAAATTTACGACCCAATTTTGGATACTTGTTTTATTTAATTATTTGTTACTATTTCTGAAAAAAAACCAAAAAAAAAAAGGTGAAAATTTTACGACCCAATTTTGGATACTTGTTTTTTTATTTATTTATTACCATTTCTGAAGAAAAAAGAATGGACCCCATTGCCTTGGCTAGGTTCGAATGAAATGGGCGCCGCTGACAGTGGATTTGATCATTTATTTTTCGAAAAAAAAAATTGTAGATAAGAACTGAGAGGCTAAGAAGATGATGTAGGGGATGGAGGGAAATTTGGGACTTGGGGAATGGGAGGAATCCCATTCCCCAAATCCCTGAAAAGTTCATCAGAGATTGGTTTCCAATTCCAGTGGTCTCCAATGGCGTCAAAACCCACCTCCTGTATTTTCGAATCCTTGCGAAACAGTCAAACCCTACTGGAAAACGACACTGTATCCGTGATTTTCAGTTGTCTTCATATGCCTTCTCTCACACCCACTTACCGAAAATTACCTTTTACAATTTTAGTTTTTGGTTCCTTACTTTTAGTATATTTTGCTTTTTCACTTCACCATTCTTGGCTTTCACGAGATGTCTTGACGCAACTTCAATTATGGGGCTCTTTCTGTTTTATCTCTATATATAACTCCTCATATTTGCTTGCTCTCCTCCACATTTGCTTTTGATTATTCATTTGTTTGATTATATGTTGTTTCTGAATGTGGGATTGTCATTCTGTCTTTTCTGAATTGGGTTTTGTTTTCTGGGTTTATTACTAATCACCAAATGCTTTTCATTCTATGATCTTATCCCTTCACTGAATTCAGATTTGGGTTCTATTTCACATTTTTGGTTCTATGATGAAGGTTTGTCAGTCTCTGAAAATGTGGTTGGTTTGGGTGGCCTTAATGGCATACCTTCTGTGTCATTGCGATGCTCTTAAGGAGTGTACAAACATTCCTACTCAACTGGGATCACATACTTTGAGATATGAGCTCTCATTATCACATAATGAAACGTTGAAGAAAGAGATGTTTTCTCACTACCACCTCACACCAACTGATGATGCTGCTTGGTCCAATTTGCTAACGAGAAGGTTGTTGAAGGAAGAAAATGAGTTTAATTGGGAAATGATGTATAGACAAATGAAGAATAAAGATGGGGTTCAAGTTCCTGGTGGTTTGCTCAAGGAAGTTCCTTTAGGCGACGTACGACTGGAACCAAACTCGTTCCATGGGAGAGCTCAGGCCACAAATTTGAAGTATCTATTGATGTTGGATGTGGACAACTTGCTCTGGAGCTTTAGGCAAACAGCTGGTTTGCCTACGCCTGGTAAACAGTATCTCGGTTGGGAAAAATCAGACTGCGAGCTTCGTGGTCATTTTGTAGGTAACTCAACTCCTTTAATCCTGCCTCTCTCTCTTGTTTGGATAGTTTTTTGTTGTTACTTTCATCTTTTGTTTCATGCTTATGAATGTATTTTGTATACTTGAACGGAGTCGATGTTGAGGATTGTTAATTTAGGGAATGATCATGAGTTTATAAGTAAGGAACACATCACCATTGGTAAGATGCCTTTTGTGGAAGCCCAAAACAAAGTCATGAGAGCTTATGCGGAGAGTCGTGATTCCTAACATTTCCTTACGGAGCATGTTTTGAAGTATCATATTTTTGTGGCTTTAGCAGCCTATGTGTCAATGATTGATATCTTGTTCTTTCAATTTTGAAGGGCATTACCTAAGTGCAACAGCTCAAATGTGGGCAAGCACTGGCGACCCTGCTATTAAAGAGAAGATGACTGCACTAGTTTCTGGTTTGGCAGCTTGTCAGGACAAAATGGGTACAGGCTATCTTTCTGCTTTTCCCTCTGAGTTGTTTGATCGATATGAAGCTATTAAGCCTGTGTGGGCACCATATTACACCATTCACAAGGTAAAGCGGCCTTGAACACACAATTGTCATTAGAAGTTACTTATTACATTGTTTGATCTTTTCTGGTTGGGCAGATATTGGCAGGATTGTTGGATCAATATACTTTAGGTGGTAATGCTCAAGCCTTGAAAATGGTAACAAGGATGGTGGAGTACTTCTACAACCGTGTACAGAATGTCATAAAGCTGTACACTGTTGAGAGACACTATCAGTCTCTTAATACCGAAACTGGTGGGATGAATGATGTGCTCTACCGGTTGTATGGTATAACAGTACGTGAATCCTTCACTCTAACATAACTCTCAGTAATATCCATCAAATTGAATTGTCATTTATTATAAATTTGCCAACGTTTTTATGAGTTTTTGAGTCTTGATGTGGATTTTTGTGTCTGTATTAGAGGGGATTATGAAGTGTGTCTTGTAAATACATGCAGGGAAATACAACGCATTTACTACTAGCACACCTTTTCGACAAACCGTGCTTTCTAGGCATTCTTGCAGTTCAGGTAACTATTCCTTGTTCAATCCAGAGTTGTACTGTAGAATAGTGTTTTATTGAGCATTCACTGTCGATTATTTGGGTAAGAATGAGCTGTCGTGCTACCTGAACTGTTGTGCTACAAAGCCTTTATTACTTTATTACAAGGCACAATTTTGTATGCTCCTCAGATTTGTGAACAAATGTTGTAATAAAATACAGTTAAAAGATCCTCTCCTTTGATTTTAGGCCGAAAGCCTTTCGGGTCTCCATGCCAACACACATATCCCGATTGTTGTCGGAGGTCAACTGCGGTATGAACTCACTGGTGATCCACTGTATAAGGTAAGTTTCCTCACATTAATTTGTCTGCAGTGGATTTTCTTTAAATTCTTGTTATTATGAGAAACAGAACAGACAAGGTGGGCATTCCTTACAAAGACACAAAATTTAAGAACTTCCTTCCATTTCTGGTCAGATCATAGAAATTGGTTCGTGACTGAACGTCATGTCAGACTTAGAAAGCTGTTTTTAGTGAACTGTTCATACATTTTTATTCCAGGAAATGTCCACATTTTTTATGGACAGTATTAACTCCTCTCACAGCTATGCAACAGGAGGGACATCAGCGCATGAGTTCTGGTATGAACACTTGGGTCCTTTAGTTGAGGCTTTCGTATCTTTTTTCGATGCACTTTCTACATTTATATTGTTTCCTCCTTTGACGTATGAGCAGGACGGATCCCAAGAGATTGGCAGATACTCTAGGAGCGGAGAATGAAGAATCGTGTACAACTTACAACATGCTGAAGGTGAAAATCTTACCTTTGGTTATATTTTTTGTGGAATTGTTTGAATTCTCAGCTAGCTTCGTTTGGAAATAGACTTCTTACTGAATATGATGATATTATAGGTCTCCCGCAACCTGTTTAGATGGACCAAGGGAGTAGCATATGCTGATTATTATGAGCGGGCTCTTACAAATGGGGTGCTGAGTATCCAAAGAGGAACTGACCCTGGGGTAATGATTTACATGCTTCCATTAGGTAGTGGAAGTTCTAAAGCCAGAAGCCACCATGGATGGGGGACCCCATTTGACACTTTTTGGTGCTGCTATGGCACAGGTTTTGACTTCATTAATTACTTGAAAATGATCTGTTTTATTCTCATACTCTTGTCTTGGAAGGTTTCTGTTACTTGTTGTTCTCATTTCTTTTATTTTGATTCAGGAATTGAATCATTCTCCAAGTTGGGCGATTCCATCTACTTTGAGGAGGGAGCACAAACTCCTACACTTTATGTTATCCAGTATATATCAAGTTCTCTCAATTGGAAATCAGGAAATGTTTTGCTTAATCAGGTCGTTGATCCTGTTCATTCAGATGATCCAAACCTCAGGATGACAATGATGTTTTCTCCCAAGGTCGTTCACATTTTTCTTATAGTGTTCTTGAAATTTGAACAAGTATATGTAACGGCCTAAGGCCACCGCTAATTAATTTGTATGCTTCCTGAATAATGCAGGAGCCAGTCCAATCATCTACCATTAATTTGCGAATTCCGAGCTGGACAAGTGCGAGTGGCGCACAAGTTTTACTAAATGGTCAGAGTGTGGGAAAGATTACTAATGGTACTCACCGCCATAACCCTCTGCTGGATTTTCTTGTTCATAGGGCAAGAAACAGCATTTTAATATCACACCCTTGCAGTAAACGTTTATGTTTCACACTCCTATTTGCTTATGCTGCAGGCATTTTCCAACCAGTTACCAACAAATGGAGCTCAAAGGACAAGTTAAGCATTGTGCTACCCATAAACCTAAGAACAGAAGCTATTGAAGGTATATATATGTGTATATATATATATATCCATCCAAGCTGACATAACCATGTCATTATAATTTTAGATAATAAATCAATCTTGTGTGAATATACTCAGATGATCGAACGCAATTTGCTTCCACCCAAGCAATACTGTTTGGCCCCTATCTGCTGGCAGGCTATAGTGGTGGTGACAGGGATATCAAAACTGGAACGACCGGTTCTTTTTCAGACTGGATAACTCCAGTTCCTTCCTCGTACAATACTTTTCTTGTTACTTTGTCCCAAATGTCTGGAAACGCATCTTTTGCCTTAACAAACTCAAACCAAACAATAACAATGGAAATGTATCCTGGACAAGGGACCGATTCGGCTGTCCATGCCACATTCAGGCTCGTTTTAAATGACACGACTGCCAACGTCAAAACGTTGCAAGATGTTATTGGCAAACGGGTCAAGCTAGAACCATTTGATTTTCCAGGAATGGTTCTAGCAACTCAAGGACCAGATCAGAAGCTTGTAATTGCAGGATCAAACTCTGTTGGGCTCTCCTCTGATTTCTTTCTAGTTCAGGGATTGGATGGAAAGAATGGAACCATATCCTTGAAGTCAGCAAACAATGAAGACTGCTTTGTCTACAGTGGAGTGAATTATAAATCTGGTGTACAGCTGAAGCTAAGCTGCAAGCCAAAGTCGTCCTCAGACGTTGCGTTCGATCTAGCTTCGAGCTTTGTGATGCAAACTGGAGTAAGTCAGTATCATCCTATTAGCTTTGTTGCAAAAGGACCAACAAGGAACTTTCTCATGGCACCATTGATGAGCTTCATGGATGAAACTTACACAGTTTACTTCAACATTATTACTTAGCCATTTAGGTTAGTTGAAAGATCGAAATAGCTCACAGATATATCATTAGCTTCGTATGTTACTAATACGTTACTGTTAGTGGCTACGAATTACAATAAAGATTTGTAAGTCATCCTATTTGCTTCCTATCATTTTTTTTATTTCTCCAAAAGATCTCGTACCAATGAAGATTGTGTTTCTTATTTATAAATTCATGATATTCCTCTTAATTAGCCAATGTAAGATTACTTCTGTCAATAATTCTCAACACGGGTCTGGTCTATGATTAAAGATGGCAGACCCAAACGATCAAGTTTGGGAAGGGTGGTTTGCTTCTTGTCTCCATCACTCGCTCTATGAATTGTGATTATCATCATCTTCTCCTCGTCCCCCCCCCCCCCC